CCTAAATGCCGGCGGCAACCGGGGCGGCCGAAGATCCGGCCGCCGCGGTCGCTGCTGAAGAAAATGGCGCCCCCCAAATCCTAGTGCCCTAGGCAACCGCCTAGGTCGCCTAAATGGTTGCACCGGCCCTGGATGCAGATTGCAGTAACCACAGAACTTTCATATGTGCAAAGCCACATTCCTAGATCTGTCTGCTGAGCTCACCACAGCCATCTAATGCAGAAACACTAAATTGAGAACTGCACCGACGGTGCAAAATGAATGGCGATTACACTGGAAACTTGCAATGCCAGCTTCCTCACTGTCAGGAGGAAGTTATTTTGGAGTGTGAAAATCCACATTGGGGGCTATTGTCATGCAAGTCCGCAGTACCTTTAGTTGTCTCTTGCTACGCAAGACTGTGACTCTCAGCATAGTGGATATTTTTTCAGCTAAGTGGTTCCCAAACTGTAGTGTAGCAACAGACGTGCTATCCCCAGAGCACTGTCCCAGAATGATGTTTGCTTTTTCTACAAGAGTGTTACATTGTCATATTTAGCTTGTGGTCCACTATGACTCCTAGATCCCTTTCCCCAGTACTCCTTCATAGGCAGTCATTTCCCATTTTGTATGTATGGAACTGATTTTTTTTTTCTGCGTGGTCTACTTTGGATGTGTCCTTACTGAATTTCATCCTATTTACTTCAGACCATTTCTCTGGTTCATCCATTTTTAATTTTAGTCCTATCCTCCCAACTTGGGATAATCCGCAAACTTTATAAGTGTACTCTCTATGCCATTATCAAAATCATTGATGAAGATATTGAACAGAACCAGACCCAGGACCGATCCCCGTGGGACCCTACTCAATGTGCCCTTCCAGCATGCCTGTGGAACTACTGATGACTAATCTCTGGGAACAGTTTTCCACCAGTTATGCACCCACTGTATAGTAGCTCCATCTAGGTTATTTCCCCAGTGTGTTTGAGAAGGTCATGTGATACAGTATTAAAAGCTTTACTAAAGTCAGGATATACCACATCTACCACTTCCCTCCTGTCCGCAAGGCTTGTTACCCTGTCAAAGAAAGCTATCAGGTTGGTTTGACATGATTTGTTCTTGACAAATCCATGCTGATTGTTATCACCTTATTGTCTTGTGTTTGCAAATTGCTTAATTATTTTCTCCGTTATCTTTCCGGGTACTGAAATTAAACTGACTGGTCTGTAATTCCCTGAGTTGTCCTTATTTCCCTTTTTATAGAATGACTCTATAGCAACGGAAAGGGCTACTTTTCCCTGGTTATTTAAGTTCTGGTGGATCACCAACATCAGTGTTGTCTGGTCATGGACGGTGCATGATGCTCACATCTTTAAGAACTCAGGACTTTTCCGAAAACTACAATCAGGACCCTTCTTTCTCAATCACGATGTTGAAATGCCAATAATGATTCTGGGGGGATCCAGCCTACCTCTTATTCCTCTGGTTCATGAAGCTGTACATCAGCCACCTCTACAGCAGCAAGAAAAGATTCAACTATCAGTTCAGCAGGGCAGAATGACAGGTGAATGTTCTTTCAGTAGATTGAAAGGGTGCTGGCACTGTTTACTCACCAGATTGGATCTCAGGGATGAAAATATCCCAGTGGTTATAACTGCCTGGTGTGTCTTAAGCAATATTTGTGATGCAAAGGGGGAAAACTTGCCCTACGGGTGGAGGGCATAAGTAGTGCACCTGTCTGCTGAGTTTGAACAGGCAGACACACGAGCTATCAGATGAGCCCAGCCAGGATGGATATGGCTTGGGGAAGCTTTCAATGCACACTTTAAGAGCAAGCCACAGTAATGTCAGGTTTCAGAGTAGCAGCCGTGTTAGTCTGTATCCGCAAAAAAACCAGGAGTACTTGTGGCACCTTAGAGGCTAACAAATGTATTTGAGCATAAGCTTTCGTGGGCTACAGCCCACTTCATCAGATGCATGCAGTGGAAAATGCAGTAGGAAGATATATATATATACACAGGGAACATGAAACAATGGGTGTTACCATACACACTATAAGGAGAATGATCAGTTAAAGTGAGCTATTATCAGCAGGAGAGAAAAAGAACTGTTTGTAATGGTAATGAAAATGGTCCATTTCCAGCAATTGACAAGAAGATGTGAGGAACTGTAAGGGGGGAGGGGGAAATAAGCGCGGGGAAATAGTTTTACTTTGTGTAATGGCCCATCCACTCCCAGTCTTTATTCAAGCCTAATTTAATGGTGTCCAATTTGCAAATTAATTCCAATTCAGCAGTCTCTCATTGGAGTCTGTTTTTGACGTGTTTTTGTTGTAATATTGCGACTTTTAGGTCTGTAACTGAGTGTCCAGGGAGATTGAAGTGTTCTCCAACTGGTTTTTGAATGTTATAATTCTTGACGTCTGATTTGTGTCCATTTATTCTTTTACGTAGAGACTGTCCAGTTTGGCCAATGTACATGGCAGAGGGGCATTGCTGGCACATGATGGCATATATCACATTGGTAGATGTGCAGGTGAACAAGCCTCTGATAGTGTGGCTGATGTGATTAGGTCTTATGATGGTATCCCCTGGATAGATATGTAATGTGACTGTGATATGCGGTGCTCAACCTGGGGTGGTAGTTTGGGGGTCTCTAGGAGCTGTGTGGTGCTTGCTGCCAACCTGTGCATATATACCAGCGACGGGGCTCCTATTCATTTTGCGGGGGGAGGAGGGTTGGGGGAATACTGTACATTAGGATGACTACAGTGGTTGGCAGTGTACAAGACCACTCCAGCAGACATTATACATTCTTTTCCGTACACTAATAAAGATGAATACCTTTCCAAACAAAATAGTTTTATTCACTTATGAAAACAGCTTTAAAAATAAACTGCAGAAATTAAAATACAATTTCAACAAATAAAAATTGGGCACCTTAATAAATAAACCAGAGGAAGGAACAGTGATATCTATTGTAGCTACACATACATCAACACTGGCTGTAACAGGTCAGTGTAGGGGAAGCTGTGGTTCATACTTGCCCCTGGCGTGGAGTGATGGGGTAAGGGTGTGGGGCCTTGAGGAACTCTGGTGTGGGGATGGTATAGAGAGGTGCTATGCTTCAGTTCTCCACAGCCTGTTATGGCAGTCGAGCCTGGCATTGTTTCCACAGGCAGTGGTGGTGTTAGTTGATCTCTCACTCCTAAGGGTAACAAAGGCAGAGAGAGCACGGGTGCTGCTGGTGTCCCAAAGCTACCCTGGTGTGTGTGTAGTAGGAGAGAGCCTGAGACATAAGCCCTTGTATCAGAGGCCTGGTATGAGGCAGGACCTGCTCACAGAATCTGGCAAGAACAGGGCTGCTATGGCAGAAATTCACATTCCTAACAAGTGCTAGGCACAGAGTAGTTATGCAAACACATCCTGATATCAAGTGGTACCAGACCATCCTTAC